CGGCCCAGTGTGTGTCTTGATGCATGGAGTGGCTGTCTGCGGGCTGAGAGTCAGGCCGAATGGCTCCTTCTTAATGTAGCCTTGATGACGTCCCCAAGCGGGAGCCTACCTATCGAGGTGTGCTGTTGGTACACATGTTGAATGTTGGTCGCGTCGGCCGTCTGCGCCCTCCCCCATCTCTGGCCTTGATTTTGTCTTGACAACCGGGTCTCGGTGTGGGAGTGGGGTACTCTCCGCGATTCTACTTTAGCTGTATATCTCGCGGGAATCACCGCCTGGCTTCAAATCGTTGGAGCTCGTGGTGGACATCGTCGAGAGCGACGGTCGAACTGTCGTGACGGGACTCCAACCTCTCAGGCTTATAAATGACAAGGACCTACTTAACCTTGTCGGTGCGAGTTACCGAATCGATGTTAATGAAACATTTCAGGTTGTCTACCGGACACCAACCAACTTCTCTAAGGGCTTGTGTCAACGGATGCTGGCAAAAGACGAGGCAGTAGCTATCCTGCTAGAGAATTCAGTGCTGTGCTGTCAGAGGACGCTAACACAAACACTCTCTCTCTTGTGGCCGACGCCGATGCCAGGTGGCGATCAAATGTCGCTCCCACAGCCTGGTGATAATTTTTAATTCCCTGCACGTGACAGTGATTTTCCCTCCGCGTACTCAACCCATGACCAATACTCGCAGCCTAGCTTACCCCCCCCCCAGTTCAGTGAGTTCTAGATGCTGATCTTACCATGCGAGCAGTGTAAAGACGACCAGTTTTAATCATAAGACCTTTATAAACCCTGCTTCAATTTCCTATTTTCATTGTCAATTCAATTGTACAGGCCCGATGATAAATCGCCGATAACATGTGTTTGCTAAATAGACTTTTAAAGTTAATCACGGGAATAGTTGCAGAACTTGGACAGTCGCTTAAATGTTTAAATACAAAAGCCAAATTCTAAATATGAGACAGATTATCAATAATCCACAGAATCCCTAAAGAATGAACTTGGAAGTCCTAGCCCATTTTTAACACGACACAGAGCCAAGCCAGTTGTTTGCACGTAGTCTCTGATACAACACAGTAAAGTGAAGTGGATGCGGAATCTGATTCGCGGGCCTCCGCTGGTCTACTCCTCTTTTAGTGAAGGAAGGCTGCAGTTGGCAATAGTTTATTCTGCAAGAAATTCCAAATTTAGATCATAAAAAGTTTACAAAATTACGTACTGCCCGCAGACTTTACACTCTCATCCCATCCCCACCTCACATTACATCTCCACACCAAACTTCTCAAAATTCCTCGTTATTATGTTACAAACCAGCTGCAACTTTCCCATGCTCTCCGTCTGCAACATGTAGCGGTTCTGTTGGTTGAAAACAAGGTCCAGATTGCACAAATGAGCAGCACCGCCAACCAGTTGGGATTTGAATTGTTCCGAAAATGAACCACATGGTCTCCAGGTCACTACTTCCAGCTGGAAAAGGAGAAAGTGCAAGACAGATGATCAGGGAAGGTGTTTGTAGGTAACTTACCTCATGACTGCCAGCAGTAGACGGCACATGACAGAACCCATACCCAAACAGTTCGTTTCGCCCCAACCAGTCATGATGCCAGACTTGAAAATAGAATTTCGGCCAACCTGGAAGAAGAATGTGGGTTAAAACCTGATTCTAGACTTGCCCACCTTGAATTCCTTTTGTGGCAAAGTGCAGGTCAAAAGGATGACAGAAGTAGGCCTTTTCGCCAAAACTGGGATTATCGACCTGCGTTTGTCCCTCTGATGGGCCGGAAAGGAGTCGCCAGGCACTACCTTCAACAGAAGAAACAAGAAGTCAAATACATGGACGCAGAGCTGCCATAGCGTTAGTCCCACTAAGATAGAAGTGAAAATTCTTCGGTTTAATTACCTACTACCTACCCAACGCAAGTGTATGTAGAATGGATGGGAAAATGAAATAAAAATAAAAGGTTAAAAATGAAAAAAATCGCAGTTGACGGAATTTGTCGGTCATTGAGATGGTTGAAAAGTAGACTGTGAGAGGGTTGTCTACTTTTACCTTCCCCGATAACCAACAGGCCAAGTATTGATGGCAAGGGCCTTGGCTACATCAACTACTCAAACCACTGAGATTTTACGTTAAAGGCTGAATATTTCGAGTAAGCGATCGGGTTCCCGGGCCTTGCATTACTACACTTGTAAAAGTGCAACTGAGAGACAAAGCTATTTTGATCTACCAGACCATGCGAGCAGCCCACTCCAATGTTATCATTTGAAAAACTGTACTCTGATTAAAATCTGCCGCATCCTTTTATATGAAACGTTGACTATTGTTCAAAATCGTAACTGCAATGTAAAGGCGATATTCATGTGGCTTGTGAAGATTCTATACGTCTATCCGGGAGTTTATTTTAAAGAGATTATTAATTCAGTACATTCTCAAAAAGAAGAAACGGCGTTCACTGGGGGAGCGTTAGTGAAGGTTTGGTGTTTTGAGTAGCTATTTCACCTGCGTACCGTCTGAGACTGCTATTATGTGGTCTATTTGCCTGACGCGTAGTCTGCCATTACCGACTGTAGGGCTACATTATACAGTAGTCGCCGGTTATTAAGCCCACGGTTAATAGGCCCAGTCGCGTATA